AAATTTAGTGTCATACAAACTAGAAGAAATCCTCATGAATACAAAAGGATGATTGAATATAACTTCGAAATTCAAATGATTGGCTAATTTGGGCTAGAAAACTATAAAAACCACCATAAAAAAGACAATATTTCAGATATAAAATAAAATTGCATGAAAGTGAAAATTCAAAATATTAGACCTTACTAGAAAGCCTCCCCCATACATATCGCAAATTATGAAACTAAGTCGTACCTAAAGTCATTGGCACATCTATTAATCAATCAGAATAGAGATTCGAGTGTTATAGTTGTCAGGAAGACTGCAGTCACTTGATCACTAGCGAAAATCAAATTCGGCTGATCTGAAAACTGAAAGATTAGAGATAATAATAATAATAATAATAATAATAATAATAATAATAATAATGGTAGCCGTCCAAGAACAACCCCTGGATACTAATTCTATCCGGAACTGCACAAGTATCCCACAAGCGCTAATGGTGGGGGTAACATATTCCATCTCGATGTCACACAGCCTGCAATTGTCCGAATTCACTTGTTGATCGATGTTCTTCCGGACAGAATTTATATTCAGGGCTTCGTCTTTGGCGGCTGCCACTAGGCTTTCAGTTGTTGTTGTTATTATTATTGTTAACAACAACAACACCACCAACAACAACAACAATATTTAATAATAATAATAATAATAATAATAATAATAATAATAATAATAAAATATTTCTATTCCATTTCCTCATTGGAAATCTCATTCAAAATGTTTGAAATAAAGCTAAACGCCTACAGAGTCGGCAATTTATATTTCAGTCGTCTGTTCTTTCGCCATTATTGACTGGATTTATGGGTTTTGTTTCACGCGAACTCGTTAAACTGATACTCACCACTAGATAGCGCACCATTTAGGGAATGAGTCGTTTCTGTATTGCATCGGCACCTCCATTTTTACACTTCATCAAAGATCGAGTATCGATTTATTTGATATGTGATTATTCTTATTTCCTCTCCGGCGGCCTGGTGCTAACACACAAGAGCCATTCGGATATATACCAAACGATTATTATGGCCGCAGTGGTGTAAATTCTTGCAATTTAGCATAAGTGAATCAAATTCAACTTAAATATACTAATATATTTGTATACAATTATACACTTAATTCCCTCTAATTTTTCCCTCTCTCTTTCAACACACGGACATAAGTAAACATTGAAGTCAACACTCAGAGGCGACAGGTTGTTTCATGCAATTATAGTGCACAGTGAGTTCTGGTGGTAACAATAAAATAATGTAACATAAAAAAGCAAACATTTATACTAAGAATAAATATATATTTTCGTCTCTCACGGCTCGATGCAGTTTCATGTACATAGCAATTGTCAGGTACAAATAAAAGCAACTTAATTTATGTCTGACAATTGCTACGTACATCAACATTGCAAACGGCGAGGAACAAATATATATATATATATATATATATATATATATATATATATATATATATTAACTGTAAACTGCTGACATAGTTTACTTTTCACCTTACAATATGTTTGAATTTTGAACTTGGTAGTACTATTTCATATGGTCATAATTAGTAAGTAAATTGCGTTTCATCTTCTATGAGTGATTATTTTATTTTGTTTATTTAGATTTAATATAGCAATGTATGGTCGTTTAGTCGGCATTATTAACCTCTTGTATGAATGTCAGACATTTTTTAAAATTTTTAAACACATATGTTGTATTCACTGGTTTCATAAAGAAGTTGGAATTTAACTGCCTCACCACGAGGACAATTTATGGCACAATGTCAATTTTTTAGATGAAAAAATCAAATGTGACATTGGCGGGAATTACATACATTCTTTTTTTTTCTCTTTTTATTATAAATTTAAAAAAATAATAAAAATTGTCTTAAAAGAGAGCCCGGTAGAAAAACAACGTGGATTCATTTTGTGCTCATATTACAAAATTTGGAATATAATTATTCAATTAATAATTTATAATATTAAATGGGTGAATTAACAATATTTAAAAAGAAATTAAAAATAAAAAAATTATTTTGAATTAAAACAGACTTTAAACTAGCCAACTAGTAAAATAAATGTATGTCATACTTAACTTAGGTGTAATGTAATCTATAGATTTTAGTTTTACTGATTTTAAAATCAATAAATATGTCTCTTTCTTTTTATCATTATAAGCAGGAAAGAAATTTTTTTTAGTTTTAAACAAAAAAAACAAAAAAACTTACAAAGAATAGAACTTACAAAGAATTGGTATTTGGAATCGGAAATTAGGTTAAAAATTCTCCGATTCCGATAACCCTCCCCCCAAAAGTTCGGATATTATTTCCAATTCTCAATTTCGATTAATCGCCCCATCACTTTTATATATATATATATATATATATATATATATATATATGCTGCGTCAGGTAAATGAAAGTATTGTTATAATCTAAACAATCAAATAGAAAGTTGTTTCTCTTTTCGTCGTGAAATCTGATCAATAGGAGACTATTGAAAGGTTTACAGGGCAAAGATAAACGTATTTTATTAATTTAGGCAGAAAAGACGAGGGAGTCAAAACGAGATAGATAGATAGATAGATAGATAGATAGATAGATAGATAGATAGATAGATAGAGAGAGAAAGAGAGAGAATAAATATTCCCTCTTTCTCTCTTGCACTCTCTGTTATAAAAATTAAAAGAGATATATTATACTTTGAATTTGCTTTGTTTTTCTAACTGAAGCAGGTAAGTCACACCTGTGTTTTTGACATTTTCGGTCACAGATCTTTCTTTTTTCTTTGGCGCACGTGAACTCATAAAATAGTGTTCGATACTATCGATCCTGTCCGATTTAGCTGACTCAGTCACGTTGTAATACATTAAAATAAATGCTATTTTATGGTGAATGAATGCTATGAAAAACGCAAGAATAACTTTTTATGAGAAAAGCGAAATTGTAACTTGAACGGGTCACGATTTGAACTCGTCAAAAGATAAATCATCCGCGTAAAGAATAGTATTCCACCCCTTGACCTTGTGCTTTATTTGTAGATGTTTGATGCAAGATAGACTAGCGAAATAATTTCTCTGTCTTTGAGTACTTCAGGGAATAACTAAAAATACAATTTGTGTTGTTTAGGAAGGGGGTGACTTGCATTGGTAGTTCATAGGAACCCAAAGATCATCCGACCTCATCGTCATGTTTAAACAACTCATTCTTTCATGAAGAACATTCAGCCGAGCTGATTCGCTACAGCGGGCACACTCTAGCTAACTTTCCATTATCAAATATCTGCCGTTCATAAAGTGTAACAATGAACTTTAAAAATAACATCATTTTTCTTTATAATGAGGTTCACCCTGTACAAGGCACGGGTATCACTCGAGGTAGAGGGTTACATTACGCGGCAGTTCATCCAGATAAGAAGGGAAGATAACGATTAATCCTACACTTGAACAGATTAAGTTTGTAATGACCGGGAAAACATCCTCTTAAAAGACGAAGAGTTTTTATTACACTGTCTTCTGGAAAATACGTTACAAAATGATGGCTTGAATAGCCAAAGAAAAATAGAAATATAAAAATTTGTAGTAAATCTTTTATGCAAAGGAAGGAAGGAAGGAAAGAAGGAAATGAAAGAAGGAAGGAAGGAAAGAAGGAAGAAAAGAAGGAAAGGAAGGAAGGAAAGAAAGAAGGAAGGAAGGAAGGAAGGATGGAAGGAAAGAAGGAAGGAAGGAAGGAAGGAAAGGAAAGAAGGAAAGAAGGAAAGGAAAGAAGGAAGGAAGGAAAGAAGGAAGAAAAGAAGGAAAGGAAGGAAGGAAGGAAGGAAAGAAGGAAAGGAAGGAAGAAAGGAAAGAAGGAAGGAAAGGAAGGAAAGAAGGAAAGGAAAGAAGGAAAGGAAAGAAGGAAGGAAAGAAGGAAGGAAGGAAGGAAGGCGAATAGAAAAATAGAAGTAGCGAGTGAAAAGAGACAAAAATATGGATAATAGAAATATAGAACAGGAAAGTTTCTATTTGGATGTTTTAAATGCCGGTATTAGAAAAGATGAAAGATATTTTTTACTTTTTTTACAGTGAGGTTCACCCTGTACAAGGCCTGGAGGCCACTTGAGGTAGAGGGTTATGTTTATCGGAATAGGAGGGGAAAATAACGATTAAATTTAGATTTGAACATGTTTGTAATGATCGGAAGACATCCTCTTAAAGTCTGTTCCACAGAGTAATGGATAGCAGGAAGGATGTTCGAGCAAAACTTACTTCTCATAGATGGAATACGGAGGAATGTGGGTGTTTGTTTGATACAATGGCAAATGTGTCGTTTCCCAACTATAATACTTTCGGCGAAAATTCCATTGCAAACCACCCTATATTCCTCCGTATTCCATCTACGATCTTTTTGCTCGAACAGCTCCTTCCTGCTATCCATTACTCGTTCGAGCACTTTCCATGGAAGTAGCGATAGAGCAATGAGAGGCTCACAACATCCAGCCTGTGACAGAGAGGATGAGGGTGGAAAATAATTCGTCACCCACAAGGACTCGGAGACTCTTTTGAACCCAATCAAGAGTGGAAACTGAGGACTGGGCAGCTTCCGCCCAACTATGACAACAGTACTCCATTCTCGGCTTGAAAGTGTGAATCAAATTGCTTTGCATTCTCTTTTTAGTGATACGTTATCGGCAAATGTCGGCGAGAGGAAATGATGGGCATAAAATGGACTTCTACAATTCTGATGCTCATGTCGAAACAACTGAATCTCTTAGAATATAGTGTCTAGTGGAAGTAATAATGTTGTGTGCCGTAGTTTTCTTATAATTTCCCAGGCAAACAAGCTGGGAAAGATGTCGATGTTGATAGTTGAACATATATGAAATTAGCTATATTATACACAAAAAGAAAAGTGCTTAAACAACTTTAACAACATTTTAACGGGTTTGTGTCTCAAGATTCTATCTAAAAAAATACTACTGAACTATTAAACCTTTGAATTCTATGCACATCGTGCACATCGTCAAGGATTCTTTCTTTCGTTTCGTGTATCAATACGAACGCTGAGAGGATAATGATGTTCCGCCATTTTCATAATTTTTATGCGAATCTCTACTGAAGCAAGAAAAGACTTTTGAACGTCATAACAGTGTTTATTACTTTGCTTGGCAAACAAAAACAAACAACTATTATTTTTTCGTTAAAATAGCTGTGTCATGAAATGTAAATTGTGCTAAAAATGCTTGCTATTAAAATTAAAATCAGATGATCCAATGAGAGAATATATTAGATAATGGAAATATATCAGTTGGCGAAATAGTGATTTGATTAGACAATTCTTCAACAGGAAGCCAGCATACAGTCTATATAACACAATGTATTCTTGATCTTCGGAAGAATTAGACATTTGATGCATGCTATCAATGCATAAAGAATAGCCTTTATTGTTAGAAGCAGTATATTGTTTTGATAGAAGCCATTCCCTAAAAAGGAATATGATTTTGCTTTACGAAGACGTTTACGGACATAAACACAATAAAACTCCAAACACAATATCTGTCAATGAGAATACGACAGCATTTATCTCAGTAATAAGTAGCAAGTCAGTGTTTCGAAATAGAACAAAGTTTCGGATAAGGAAAGGGAAACTGGATTGAAAACAAGAAAAAGAGATAAGTTCAGTCAACGACGGATTTCGAATTGAAGTCGAAAGAGAAAAGATTAAAACAACAAAAAAAGTCAGGAAAAAAAAAGGAAAATAGCGACAAAGACGTCACGAAGCGATGTAAAAAAAAAGAAAAAAGAAAAGAAGAAACAGTTTCATAAAATACTCACACGGACACGCATACACACACGCATATAGGTACACGTACATGTACAAGCACACACACACATGCACATAGACACACAAACGAACAATGCTAAAGAAAATGAAATGAAGAGGAAAACGAAACGGATATTAATAGGAAACACATTGAAAATGACAGCTGGAGAAGAAAGGTTCTAAGAAAAACATGAAGACACAATAAGAAAAAAATGAAGAAGAAATAGAAATATTAAAAAATAGAAGAAAAATGAGGAAAGACAGAAATAGAAAGAAAAAAAGAAGACATGAGAAGATGTAAATGTATATGAATATATCCATACATATATACATACATGGATGAAATCCTGAGAGCTCAATGTAAATCCAGAGTTAATATTTTAAAGAAAAACAGACCACTTTAAGGTAGCATTATGATAATTTATTTACACTACACATCAATTTTAATTTCATTTTTCGTTTCATTTCATTTTTGGAAGTGCTATCTGATGATTAGGAGTCCTTTAAAAGGGCTCTGGTGAAATAAATTATCGTAATGGTACCTTAAAGGGTCTGTTTTTCTTTAAAATTAAATATATATATATATATATATATATATATATATATATATATATATATATATATATATATGTGTATATATATATATATATATATATATATATATATATATATATATATATATATATATATATATATATATATATATATATATATATATAGTTTGACATCAACTATAGATCAGAATTCAACAGAATAAGATAACAAATAAGAAATATTTATCAATCTAATGTTTCACTTTTATTAAAACCTCATCATTCACTGATGAAGTTTTAATATAACTGAAACATGTTAGATTGATAAACGTTTCCACTTTTTTCATATATTTTCACACACACACACACACACACACACACACACACACACACACATATATATATATATATATATATATAGATATAGAGAGAGAGAGAGAGAGAGATTTAAAATTTATTGATAATTTCTTGTTCTTTGATGTTTGGTCAATGATATCTTTGAATTTGTGTTGTTTCGATTTGTTGGCTTTTCAGATTTTCTTTCTGCCCATTTTGTATCCGTTTTCTTAAAAAGAAAGATGTTGAAGAAAAAATGCTAACTAACTGAAATGAAGAAAAAGAACAGTGAAAAGAGGCAGAATATTTCGAAGAAGTCAAATTTGAAGAAAATGATGTGAAAAAGAGAATTTAAAATGTTAGGCGAAATAAAAAATAAGATTAAGAAATGAAGAAAATGGTCAATATGAAGAAAATTGACACATCACAAAAATATTGAAGAAGAAGAAGGAGGAGGAGTAGTAACAGAAGAAGAAGAAGGAAGAGGAGTAAAAGAAGGCGGAGGAGGAGGAACAAAAGAAGAAGAAGGAGGAGGAGTAAAAATAGGGGAGGAGGAGTAAAAGATGAAGAAGAAAGAGGAGTAAAAAAAGAAGAAGAAGAAGAAGAAGAATATATTAAAACTTTTAATATGTGAAAGAAAAAGAAAAAGAATGCAAAGCCAACTTATTTTTCATACGCTGAAGACATTCCTGCATTGGATTAGTCTTTTGATAAAGATAATCCATAGTTTGAATTAAATGTCCTCTATAACACTTCAGAAGTGAGTATCACCCACTTAACACCAAAGACAGGGCCAAATCCAGTGACAAAACTGTCGTGTATTTGAAATACTATCATTTGGTGATTTGTGTCATATTTTTCTTGAAAAAATTCCATTGCATTTTCAGGCAAAGTATTTGAGGTTCTCAAAGAAGAATCGGAAGACACACAGTTGGAGAGATTTTTGCACACGACACCTTTCATCGCTCTTTTTCTCTCTCTTGAAAGTGAACTTTTAATTTTTTCCTTTTTCATTGTTTATTTTGCTTCCAGTACAAGACAGTTGAGGTAGACTTAAGATGGAGACAACTGAACGAAAAAGATGTAAAAATGTATGACGGTGTTCGTATGTGTGTGGTTGAAAGGTAGAGAAAGCATTGAAGACAGATGGAGAGATAGATGTCAAGGAGGGAAGAAAATATATTTGTTGATGGGCGGGAGAGGAGAAAGCTGTAATATGAGATTATATATTTTAATTATTGTGCTTTAAGATTATTTCAAAAATAATTCCCCTCTCACAAATTACTATTTTTTCTCTTTTTTTACTGCAATTTATTGGGCTTACGGCCATATCACATTGAAACATCGGTTCCCGTACGATCACCGAAGTTAAGCAACATCGAACCTAGTCAGTACATAGATGGATGACCGCTTGGGAATACCAGATGTTGTATGCTTGGATGTGCAATTGGTGGATAATGGCTCGGAATTGTTAATCAGAGAGCTGAGTTCTTATTTACGTTGGGTTTGTTATATTAACTTACGAGCAAATAAACTTCGGAAAGGTATGAATCCACCTCTGTTCCCTACTATGGGTTAATTAGTAAGACTTGAAACATTAAACCATTATTATCCCACTCCCCTACAAAAAAATCTGACAGAATTCTTTTTCAGGCTTTAAATGACATACAAAGACTTGATAAACCGTAAAAAACAAATCAATCAATCAATTCCTTTTATTCTTATTCGTCTTTTTCTTTTCTTTCTTTTTTTTTTTTTTTTTGGTTTTCTGTGTAATTTTTGTAAAGACAACCTATGTCTATACTGGAAATTCTATTCCTTTTATATAATAACCTTTTCTTTTCTTTCTTTCTTTCTTTCTTTCTTTCTTTCTTTCTTTCTTTCTTTTTATCATTGATAGATTGTTTTCACAATCTTTTCCGTATGTCCCTTTTTTCATTCTCTTTAGCATAAATACTTTCTTTCTCTCTTTAATTTTATTTTTCTCTTCCTTTCTCCTTTCATTTTTTTGCCCTTTTTCTTTCTTTCTTTCTTTCTTTCTTTCTTTCTTTCTTTCTTTCTTTCTTTCTTATCAGATCACCTTTCTCTTCTCTTCCCGCTTTCACTCCTCTGCAGAGCCTAGCCAAGCAACAGGCAGTGAGGTGCGAGACTGATATTTCTCTCAAACAGTAGCCGTTGCCATGGTAATATCGATCTGCAGAACCTGCCTCTGCAACTATGGCGGGCGTTCCCACCACCAGCAACGGCACGGGAGCGCCGGCCTGCTACTCGCACACGCGCACCGACAGTCCTCGTCGTTTGTGATAAAGAATCTGAGTATAAATGGCGCATCGAGTAAAGCACAACTTAGATGGGAGCACCAAAACCTGGTTTATGAAAGTCTATCTATCTATCTATCTATCTATCTATCTATCTATCTATCTATCTATCTATCTATCTATGTCAGTTAGAGTCATCTCTCTATCTCTCTTTCTCTCTCTCTCTCTCTCTCTCTCACACACACACACACACACACACACACACACACACACACACACACACACACACACACACACACACAGAGGTGCACATAGAATAGATTAAACTAAATGCGTGCATATGAAACCAGGATTTGGATTTCTTGGATCAAATACATTTCGTCTTATGAATATATACATACATTATATGTGTATATATCAGGGGAAGAGATGAGCGCCGTCCGTTACAAACGATAATCTTTTAAAAGCTAAACAAACTTATGGCGACCGGAGGAAAGACATGATCAACATGATTTTGGATTTGTTTGTTTTTTTTCTTTTCTTTTAAGACTGATGGATCTCTCTGTTGCGATATGCTATGAGAAGACTACAATAATGTGGCTACACAAAGACATACATGAAAAATGACTGGAAAAGGAGTGAGACAAGGAGATGGGATTTCAACTGAACTATTTATAGCAAGATGAATTACAAAAAAATGTTAAATGACCTAAATAGGCAAAGTTTTATTAAACTCTTGGCTACTATCACATATCACATTAATACTAAATGAATGTATACTAAATATTTTAAAGATTAAGTTGATAATGAAAAAGAATTGTTAGAACACGTCAGCAATGGTGAGAGTAGGGCATTAGCGAAAACAATATAAAATCCATTAAGAATATATACAATAACAGTACTACAATAAAAACTGAAAAAGGAGTGAGACAAGAAAACCTGAAATATTTATAGCAGGCTTTGAAAGGATTTGAAAAAGAATGGGATTAAAAAGGGAAGTAAACCTACATGGAGAATATTTAAAACCATCTATGATTTGTTGATTACTTTTTACTAATATCGAAATCATTGAACGAATTTTAAAAAAAATGTTAAGTGTGCTAAAGAGAGAAAACTTGTATAATCTTTTTAGGAAATCTTCTGATCCTTATAGGGTCAGATTTCCTCAAAAAAAGAAACAAGAAAATACAAATCCTCCCCCATCTTGAAATGAAAAAATTGACCTAAGCAATGCTGACCATTTTTGGTTCTTCCTATTCATGTGAAACATTGTTTTCATCCCTGAATTATATAAGATCAACCTTCAGGAATCACTTTGGTATGGATATGAGTGCTGTATGCATTAAGCTGAAAAGAAAAAGTATGAACCTCAAATTAAAATATTTGAGCAACTAAAAGATAGAGCAACAAATTTCTCATTAAAACTATAAGTATACGAGTGACAAATTTATATTTAGGAAAAGTTTTTAAAAGGTACCAAAAATAAACTGACAAAAAAAAAATTGTGGAACATGGCAGCCATGATGAGAGCAGGACATTAGCAAAACCAACATAAAAACCATATATACCTTATATACCATAAGAATATATACAATAGCAGTACTACAATAAAGACTGGAAAAGGAGTGAGACAAGGAGGTAGTATTTCACCTGAACTATTTATAGCAGTCTTTGAAAGGATCTTCTGGAAAAAGAATGAGGGAAAAAAAGGGAAATAAACCTACATGGAAATTATTTAAAATCATCTATGACTACTTTTTACTAATATCGAAATCATTGGACAAATTAAAAAGAAAGTTAAATGATCTAAATAGAGAAAACCTGTGTAAAAATTGAGTGCTTAACAGATGAGGGAGGATGTTTATTTTTATTTTTTAATGTAGTCTTCCGTCTCCACTCCTATCAAATTAAGACCATCCTGTTTATTAAATTCACACTTTTGACCCATTATATGATTTCTTGACCCCTCGCACCATTTAATAAGATCCCACCGCCGTTTATTGCATTTTTTAAAAAAGACAAATCCAATAATGAAAGAGAAAGTTGAATGGGTGCATGTACGCTGTTCAAACCCCAGAAACATAGTTTTGTTCAGTAGATCAGGGGGACGCCGTCTAAGGCAGAATCCAAGGTAGAAACATTCCTCTACTGCCATAGAGGGCTTTCGGTCATATCAAGTTAAAACATCGGTACCCGTACGAGCACCGAAGTTAAGCAACGTTGAGCCTGGTCAGAACCTAGATGAGTGACCGCTTGGGAAAACCCGGTGCTGTAAGCATGGATGTGCGGGTGCTGTAATAGATAATGGCTCGCAATTGTTAATCGGAGAATCGCGTTTCAATACTCGTGATGTTCGTTATATCACTTACACGTAATTATCCTTGAGAAAATTATGAATGCACGTTTTCTCCCCACTCTGCCCTCGACGGGTTAATTAGGAAAACCATTTGGTTATAGGTTATCAATAAAACTATTATTATCTCCAAAAAGAAATAAATACTTACAATCTAAAAAAAATAAGTATACATTTCTCGGCTTAAAAAAACAAACAAACTGCAAAGGCTTGATAAAACGTAGAAAACGAATCACTGATAATCATTATCTACTGTCATCCAATCACTTTTCGGATAATCTTCTTGTGTTACAGAATATCATTCCCGTTTTGATCTAATCAGTCATATGAGACCCCATCCGCTATGAGAGAAACCGGTCGATTTCACCTGAAAAGATGGTCTATAATTATTTCTGCCGTCCTAAACTCCGACCATTCTAGGATGATTGCTATATTTGGTTACTAAGGAATGTTATGTGGGTTTGCTGTTCTCGATCTGTTACTTATCACCATCAGATACCTTTCTGAAAGAATTTCGAAAGTCGTAACCAGAAATTCTTCCTTATGATGAAGTTCTGCCTCAATGTTAGAGTATATTTCTACACTACTTGACACACAGACTGAACTTGCGGCCCTGAGAGATTCAGATGTGATATCCTGAGTGAGATTTACTGATCCATTGATACATGCCAGTAACGAGACCTTAAGCGAGAGAGATCAAATTAGTCTTACTCAAAAGCTTCAACGAAAAATAAGTTTACCACTGTGTATTTAGTTGCTCGTTTTCAACAAAGTGCGGGAACTTATATCTTTTTCTATGTGTCCCTTGAGGACGTGCACAATCATGACTCTCCACAACTTCCTATCTATATAGCTCTTAGTAACGTTTGTCTTTTTATCATTCCCTATTCCACCATCAATTCACATAAGTAAATACCTAACAGATATTTAGTTCTGGGTTGGCTTAACTGTAACCAGTTTTGTAATGAGGTTTAAGTAACTCTTCACTTTTTTCGGCATTCAGTTCTATTGATAGACATCTTGACGAAGGTCTCGTCACTTGCGTGTCACTGGCGTGCATATTGATGGAGAAAAGTGAGCACCAGAGAACTAATTACATTTACATTATCTACTATATATTTTTATTAGAATCAGAGTGAAAATGATGGTAGCCATTACACCTATCTCTGGATCAGTGACAGGCATAGTTGGAGGTTGATAGGCAAAGATATTCACAGACATCACAGGAATGTCATGAAACAATAAAGAGCACAAGCCAGGAGATGTTAAGCTCAGAGGCGAATTAATGAGACAGAAGAGGGTAACAGGAGGAGAGTAGATGTGTGTGTGTGTGTGTGTGTGTGTGTATGAGAGAGAGAGAGAGAGAGAAGTGCAAAAAACAAAAAAACAAAAACAAAATGAAACAGAGGAAGAATCTAACACAAGAGAATATATGAGAATGCGACAGAAAGAGTAGGAATGAGAATACTGGAGCCATAAGAAATGCATAAAACAGAGGTCATGGAGTATATAATCTTTGTTCACTGAAATCAATTATCAACATCATTTTTGACGGTACGGGTACACTAGTAAAATAGTAAAAACTAGTAATAAAAAATACGAAGCAAAAATGTTTAATCTAAAAATAGAATAATATTTTTGAACATGATTATTTTCAAGACATCTCAAGTTGCTTTGATCTATCCACTACCCTTCCCCTCATCTTTTCTTCTATCACTCCTATCTGATCTTGCTTCAAATTTTCTGTAACCCCTTGCGTTCTAGTGGCTTCCCGCCTTGCTTGGGGTGAAACGCTTAAAAAAAAAAAAGACTTAAACTTACATTAGCGAATGCTTTTGAGAAAATTTCTTGAAATTACTGTAAAGTTAGATAAATCAACAAAGTTTTCTCTGGGCGTCTTATTATGGAGCAAGTGTCGTTAATGGTACCTCATATGATGTTCCTTGTGCCAAATGAATCAAAACGCTATGAAATAGTCGTTAGTGAGCTGTTATTGTGAGCTCGATTCCTTCCGAGTACAGTCATACCAGATTAAATTAAGTAAATACTTAGCACCTTCCTTAGTGCGGTGTGACAATCTCGTTAACAATTGTTTGTGGATGATGACATCTATATTTCCTGGGAGCCAAACACTTTTTTGTCGCATGCAAGACGAAATTGAACTAAATACATACTTATTTTTTACCTACTTCGTGGACAAGATCGTCGCATGTTTCTCACCAATGACAATGTGATTGTGCATTTGACTGTTCTACGGTCTATTCCTGGCTTTGTTCAAAATGCTTGAGTATTTGTTCTTCAATGAGTTTCCATGACGGTGCTTAATTCTTCATGTCAATTGAAAACTAGGCTCCACCTGGAGAGCAATTTACCAGAAGTGAATTCTTGGTGTAAATGATGATGTACAGTCCATTCTGAAGCTGATTGCATTCCCAAGTAATGATGATGTTGTGCATGAAGCACACTGTCCGAGTTTGAACTTAGAGCAGAATGACAAGAAAATCACGAAGCACTCGCCATTGCATATTACAGTATTTGTGATATGTACGTACAGTATTCTGAATAAAATAAGTTATCATCAATATAGCCTTACACTTAGCATTAGCAATGAAAGAACAGTCTGGCCATTTTTTGCAATATAATCCAGTTTCGTCAACGTTAACAATCTGTTCAGGAAGAAACCTGTTTTCTTCGATGATCTTCGCCAATAATTTAGGAAAATCAGCTGCTGCTTGTTCGTCAGCTGATGCACTTTCACCTTGCTTCTGAATAGAGTAATAACTTCTTCGCTCTTTAAATCTCATAAAGCAGCCCTAACTCTACATCTTTCTCATCTGGTTCTTTTTTGTTCAGGTCCTCAAACAAAGACAACGATTTCAATTGAATGATTTCTTGACTAATAGCAGCACGCTGATGATTCAACCCATCAATCCGAAGAGAAAGAAGTTGTTCCATCTCTCCAAAGATTTTTTATCTTTTCTTATTGATATTCAGAGAAGAACTGAAAGTGGAATCAGAAAACTTGAAAATGTCAGGAAGATGCGGGCATAAATAAACGGAAACGACGTTGAGAAAAACACGATTGTAAGAATGCAACGCAAAATTAGAATTTATTTGATTCCAATCTAATATTTAAGAGTTAAGTTCTTAAAATAGTTTACTTTTGATTATATCGTCAATAGCATATAATGAAATCAAAGTAATAACAAATATCTTCATGAATATAGCAATTATCAAACTTTATCGATAGTAGAGCAAAAATAACAAAATTCTATGAATTCGATCCTTTTGGGGTGTCCCACGATGGTTTTGATTCAAGTAAAGCTTGTGTAGCAAATTATTATTGCTAAAGTGAATTTAATCCTTATTGGATACTCTGCATTTGTAGCCTTCTACCAGATATGATCTAAAATACGTAAATACTTATAAAAACCTTACTTGTGTTTCATAATCGTAGTTCAATTTACATTTTATAAACTAAATGCAACAACAACTATGAATAATGAGTTCGATTCTTAACGTGTGTAACATTTAACAAATTATTATTATAGAAACAGTGGTCAGATTAATTAAGGACTGAAAAATTTCCAAGACAATGTGTTTTTTTATGAATTTTTATTTCATATCTTTTGAACGACAAATTTCAAGTATAAACGTTATTTTAAATGATTTTGAAGTTACATTTTAAAATGTTTTTCTTTTATTTTTACAAATTCAAGGTGAGACTGAGCTGGTATGGAATAAAAGGATTCGTGGTGTACTTCTAAAATCTGCAAATGTTATACTGATCATTCTGGTAGCGATATTTGTGGCAGAATAATCGCTCGAATCTAACTTGCAATGCTGAAACCTGTTTTTACGATGACAAACGTTCATTATTGTACATTCTTGCCGTATAACTAAATAACATGAATGATTTTTCCAGTTCAACAGTAACGAAGAGAGAAAGAGAGAGGGGTAGAGAGAAAACAAAGAGGGGGATAGAAAGAAAACAGAGAAAAAAAGAGAGAAACAAAAACAGAGAGAAAAACATAGAAAGGAGAGAGATGGGGAGAGAAAACAGAGAGAGAGGAAGAGAGGGGGAGAGAGAAAACAGAGAGAGGGGAGGAGAGAGGGGGAGAGTGAAAAAACAGAGAGGGGGAGAGAGGAGGGAGAGAAGGGGAGAGAGGGAAAACAGAAAGAGAGAGGGGAAGAGAAAGAAAACGGAGAGAGGGGGATGAAAAGAAAACAGAGAGGGGGATAAAGAGAAAATAGGGAGAGGGGAAGAGAGAGAAAACAGAGAGACGGAGAGAGAGGGGTGAGAGAAAAACAGAGGGAGAGAGAGAGAGAGAGAGGCGGAGAGGCGTGGAGAGAACTTGAATTCCGTAAATAAATAATACCTATGAGTTAAAAAAAAAAAAGTCTGTGAAACTGTTTCCTTTTCTTACTTTCCGTCAATTCTGCACTTTCCCCAGCGAGCAAATATAAAAACCTTTTTGGAAGTGTTATGGCGAACATTGTTGCTTGGTAATACCAACATCATAATGGTGGCAATTTCTACTATTCAATCTCCTACCACCATTGCCCGTCACTAACTCCGCTGCCGTTATCACTGTTTTTACTGCCAGCCTCACAATAACCACAGCAACTACCAATATTAAAACTGTTAGGATCATCTCCATTAAAGTAATTACAATGAATAACAATTATTTATCAGTCCTTAAAATTATCAACATGACGTCACTCGCTCCTCCTGCCAATGACGCTTACCACTGTTATTTACTCAATGACAATACTATAACTTTCTACCTGTTGTTGTTGTTGTTGTTGTTGTTGTTGTTGTTGTTGTTCTTCTTCTTCTTCTTCTTCTTCTTCTTCTTCTTCTTCTTTCTTCTTTATTATTATTATTATTATTATTATTATTATTATTATTATTTTCTTGTTTTTTTGTTGTATACACATTTCCTTGTGGGTACCAACCAGAGACCTAGAGTCAGAAAAGCTTCATGACATTTTCCACTGATCAAAAAAACAAAAACAAAAACAAAAAAACAATAAAAAACTAACCCCCCTCATTTTACATAGATAAAGCTGTACATAATGTGTGAGCTGTATTGAGAGTACAGTCTTTTGTATTTCTTTAAGGCAAGGGCTACCAGGAATCCCTTCAATGAATATTTTCCAATCAATCCGAGGATTCCAATCACTACTGGAATTACTGATATCTTTGTGTGCCACATTTTTAGATTTTAGATTTCCACCCCAAGATCCTTGTATTTTGATATTTTTTTATTTTTATTTTGAATATCTTCAAAGATAAATTACAATCTGCAGGGACTGACCTGTCAATATGTATATTATTATTATTATTATTATCGTCATCATTATATTTCGATTTCTGCTATGGTCACACAACCTACCAAGTCTGTGGGAAGACGTAAGGCAGGTAGTAGCGTGTTGCTATGGCCATAATTTGTTTTTCTAACTGCCATAACAAAGTTCTTAGTGTGTGGGTTGTATTTATCAGGAGAATTTTTGTATTTCTCTTAAACTAGGATTTCCAGGGATTTTTCAACGTGTTGTTGTGTTCCTTTTTTATCATTCCAAGCGCACCTACAATGACTGGCACTATTCTTTTTTCAATTTCCATATTTTTTCAATTTCAATTTTCAGGTCTTTATACTTCGATAGTTTGTTTTTTTTCAAATTCCTTGGTTACTATGTTACAGTCCGTTGGGCAAGCCATATAAATTAGTAGGCAAATTTCTTTTCGGCTTTTGACAATTATGTCCGGCCTATTTGCTTCAGACTTCCGGTCTGCAAAGATGGTTTAATCCCGTAAAATTGTGATGTCTTCTACTTCTGTAACCGGTGCTGGGTGATGTTCATACCAGTGTTTGTACATTGTCCAGAGCAAATATTACACCACTCTATAGTGACAATTTTTATATCCATTTGGCGCAAGTACAGAACATCCTAAGATTAGAAGGTCTATGTTTTCCTAATATTTGTCACAGAACCTGCATTTTGGCTTCATACTTTTATGTATGATATTTGCCTGAAAGTTCCTAGTGCAAAAAATAAAGGCTTCTGTTTCAGCCTTTCATCCAGATGCTCATAACTATCGATGAGTGTTAACTTTATCAATATCGGTTTTATTAGCCTCGTTCTGGGTATTGGTCATGCAGAGGTTTGTCTTGCCAGCGTTGTTTCATCTGTTCAAGAGCTTTATCTTTGGCTATATTTTTGGCTGCAACAGTTGGTTCTTGGGTTCTGTTTTGGTTTTCTACAGAATTACAAAATGTAAATCTTGCTTGTATTTAAAATCTTTTTTCATGATTAAATATTTTTTCTGTTTGTTTTCATGTTGTTTGACTAATTGTATCATCCAGTCCTTTGCTGTTTCCATGTATGTTAGTAAGCCAATAGTTGTCACATATGACAATATAGTTGAATAAGACTTCTTCCAAATTCTTTACGGGGTCTGTATAGACGGTCTGCATCGGCCTTTGGATGATAATTGTTAAGCTTAGAAAGAAACTTTCTTGTCTTAAAATCCATTCTTTCTGATGTCATTTAGTCGAATTCAAGATGTTGAAACTATATTGAACCATTGGGATGGTAAGGCTATTAATGGCCATAAATCTGTTCTGAGAATTCAATTCAGTTCTTAATATCAGTCGCATCTTTCTATAGTACTCTTTTCGCACTATTTCTTTGATTTTTTTAGGGTGAATTCCTTCACCCTCATTTACACCGAGGTACTTATAATCTTCTTCTTGTTCTAAATCTTTGATTGTTACCCTAGGATTTAAGCTAATAGATGAGGTTTGTTGTAGTGATCCTCGTAAAATTGTGGCTTTAGCACATTTATCCGAATTGAATTTCATTTCAATGTCATCACTGAACCATTTTACTGTTTTCAAGAGACCTTCCAGCTCACTGTCATTCTTAGTATACAACTTTAAATCATCCATGTAAAATAGATGGCTTATTTTGTTTTGAGATACCTTATAGCCATATTCCATCCTGTTAAGTTCGCTGGTTAATGCTATTAGGAATATGTAAAATATTAAAGGAGACAAAGAGTAACTTTGAAATATTCCTCTGTTGATGTTTATTTCACCAGATTTATAGATTCCATTTATATGATTGAGTTGAAGTGTTGTTTTCCATATCAACATACCTTGTTTGATGAAATTGATGACTACGAATGATACATTGTAATATTTAAAGACGTTAAGATCCAGGAATGGGATACACTATTGAATGTCTTATGGTAGTCTTCTTCTTCTTCTTCTTCTTCTTCTTATTATTATTATTATTATTATTATTATTAAATGGTGTATGTGTGTGTTTAGTAATTTTAGTCTACCTTCCCCACTGTCCATTTCCATGGAACTATTTACACCGTTTATTTCAGTCACAAGTAGAGAGAGAGATAAACACCGTGTGGAAAATTGTGTAGTGTGCTAAAATTACAAGTGGGAAGAATCTGCGTGTCATCCTCTAGAGTCAGTGCTTGCAATCTTGGCCTTAGAAAAAATTTAATTGCAAAATTTAATCATAAAATGCTTTTTTTCTTTTTGCCATAATAAAATTTCTAATGAAAAAATCTTAAACCATAACCAAATACTAATTTCCAAAATTACAAAACAACTACTTTTTCAGTCAATTTAAAAATTACCAGGGGTGGCCTCAAACTTTTAAATTGTTATATATATATATATATATATATATATATATATATATATATATATGTTCAAACTTAGATTGAGACTTTCTCTGTTTAGATCATTTAACATTTATTGTAATTACTCTGGTTATTCTGTTTATTGGTAAAATGTCGTCAGCAGATTATAAATGGTGACTTCCATTCTTTCTCAATTTTCCAAAAGCAGCCTAAAACCTTATTTCCTCTGTTACCTCAGGATTTGCCGGAGTGAATTGATAATTTCTTATTTTGTGTCATCTCCTTTGGTTGTTGTTGTTTTTTTTTTTTACCTTTGTCGCTTGCAGACCGACAATCTCTTAAGTTCTTTCCTCTCCCGAGAGTTTTCTCTCACCTTTCGAAACTAATCTTTAATTTTTGTGTTTCATTTTTTTAGTAGTTTAATTCTCTTGGTTTGCATGTCCACAGTTTTCTTTTTTCTTTTAACAATTCTAGTGTTTTCTTTGAGTTATCTCCCTTGCCTATTGACCTTTCCATTTGTTCACTTTGTTACTAAATTGTTCTTTCTTCTACGTTATTTTTATCGTCCTACAAAGTCTAAAATCTGTTTTTGATTTCTCCCTAAACTTCGATGATATTCGCTTTGATATTAATATAGTGGCGTGGGGTTTAGGGGTTAAAATGGACAAGAAGATTAATGAAGGATGATAATAACTTTCGGTATTAATTGGTTGATCAGCCAATTCTACCGTTAGTTGAAATTTATTAAACCTTCCTCTAAAATTACTTTTTTTCAGAAAAATAGGTTTCTCAATTCCAGTAACTGTTATCGCTCTTTCCAATATTGAAGGGTGCTTCCTTCCTAACATTTTGTTTGAAATAGTGTGGAGTGTTAATATCTTGCGGTAATCCAGAAGTATTTTCTTTTTGAACTTCCGTACTAAAATAATCTAACATTTGCAGAAATGAAAAAAAAAAAAAAGAAGAAAAATTCTTTTAAAATGTTATGATCCGAAAATAGAATATTTTCCCAGTTTTCAAGCTTGCCTTTAATAAATAAGACAGAAAAAAACTCTTGAAGAGTAACGGCTAAAGAGGAATTTTCTGGAGTGAGTGGGAAAAGGTGCACACAAAAACAAACAAGGCTCGAAATTATTAAGTGAAAGGAACAAAAATATATTACATGAGTGGCGTGGGGGTTTAGGGGTTAAAATGGACAGTTGATTTACCCACGACAAGAAGATTAATGAAGGATGGTAATAACGAGGAAACACACGGGTAAGGAATTTACACGTTTGAAGTTGTGTCAGTAGCTCGTTTCAGGAAAATAAATCAGGAACTTTTAAAGTCCGTAGTTTTAACGTATTGTCCTGAAGAGGAAATGTTCTTACAACAGATTAAAGGATCTAACACTAAATAATATTCCAAAATGTTTAAAATAAGAGAGTTCGTTGCTCACCGAAGGGGTATATGGTTGCATACATACATTGTATAATAAGTAGACAATGAGAGATTGAAATACTTACATTCTTTGTCTGTTGAGAGAAAATGCTTTGAAGTGTCGTATGCTTGGTTAGAAGCCGATAATATAATTGGTGAATAATTTTACACTGACAAGAACTTCAACGCTGGTCGCTAGGAACTGAAATAAAACCTTTCACATGACTTCAGACACCCTTCTGTTCATAATTAATCTTTCTCTTCATATTACATCAAAAAGAATTTCGCATAGGCTGGATACTTTCTTTTCTTTCTTCTTGGCTCAACGACTAATTTCTGTGTTGACAAGCCATTCATTGATCCAAAGAAAATTTCGCATAGGCTCGCGATTTTCTTTCTGTTTTTTCCTCAGTCCTCCGAATTTGAAGGGAGTGGGTAAAGGGAATTATTATTATTTTGCACTCACTACATTGGAAAACCAGGAACATATTTATTTAGAACTACGGATAACATTAAAGAAAAATGCCGAAAATGGAAGGACGAAAAACATTTTACAACGACATAATGAGAGGTAATTCTATCTATGAAGGCACGTTTGTTTGATTAAACCAAGTCAGGCAAATGTCTTCACTAATAGAGAACTCTATCAATATCAGTTTCAGTGACTTGCGTACCTCAGCCAATGCCCAACCACGATTGCTTGACAAATTCTCTAACCTCTCAACGAAAATAACCATCGTATCGTCCATTAAAACAAAAAAACAGATGTTCGACATTCTTTTGAATTTAGTTCAAAATCACGAATTGTCCAAATTCTGACTGCAACCAAATATCGAAGCCGTGTCGTATTTACTTTAAGCGTATCAATCGAAGATTATATCGCTTTTCACAATTTACCAAGTTTCAATGAAAATGTGTCAATGAAAATGTTGAATTCTACAGAAAAAAAAAGTAAACTCAGTTAATTCATTTATGACATACGTTGTTTACGCACACACAAATTGATGGCAGATTAAAAAGTGAGCTACAAAGGACGGGAATTTGTGGAGAGCCATGTTCAACTTAACGAGTTTGGATGGCAGAACAGAGACTTAAGAGGGGCAGTAATGAAACAAACATTGCTTAGAGCTACAAAGGACATTATAAGATAGTATAAGTAGGATTTATTATAACATTCCTACTTCTGTTTACATATTAGAACTGGTACAACTAGTGAGCATTTCTACTTTTGTCATCACGGTCCACTGCTTTCACTAATTCATTCGTCTAACTTCAGACATTTTGGATCAGCAGACTAAATATTTATGCAAGAAATAAGTTAGTTAAATACCGAATTTAAAAAAAAAATTAAGCTTTGACTCTATATAGAGCCAATTTATAAGGATTGTCAGTGATCAAGAATGAATGTAAACATATTGACAGAATACACGTTAATTATATATGATTGTGTTTCATGCTTGAACGCAATCTCCAGGCGATGAAGTTTACTTTCATTCAAGCATGACACAGACTATCGCCGTTAGATTGTTTACCTCAGTGCACACACACACACACACACACACACACACACACACACACACACACACACACACATATATATATATATATATATATATATATATATATATATATATATGTACAGATAAAAATCCGTGGGTAAGTAATCTAAGTGAATCCTAATAATATAAAATATTAAAACTGATCCATAAAAGAGAGCTCAATATATTTATTATGGGGCATAGAAATAAATTACATAAAAATGAAACTCAATTGTATCACATTTATATTGCCATTTTGCTCCTCGGAATAAATTCCCTGAAGCTTGTCAATACTAAAACTTAAGCACATTGTAGTGCTCGATGTATAATAACAGAGTTATAATTTATATTAATAATAACTGGATATATTTCCTCACCGATATATTTATTGTTTATATATATATATATATATATATATATATATAGAGAGAGAGAGAGAGAGTACATAAATGTAATGCTAATGATTTAGTATAGAAATGGTTTGAAAATCGACCTTGTCTATAATTTTACAATAGAAATGCACCTTTAAATTATTTTTAAATGCATTGAGAAAGAAGGAAAAGAAATTGTCAGTGGCCAGGATTTAAGATAAACCTTACTGTCAGAATAAGAGAAATTTAAATCGAAAACCGCTCAGCTGAAACATGCTCTGACCTATTTGGACATTTATAAAATCTAAGGTTTATTTGTTTTCTCAGTTTATTCATTCATTTTAAAGCTTTCATATCTTGTGATTATTATGGTATTTAATGTTTGATCTGAATTCTTAAAACGGTGCCAATAGACGAAGTGTCCCAAAAGTGGTGAAAAAATTTCCACGCAGGTTTATCAAAATAAGTAAAATTCATTTTCACCTTACAAAATTTAGTTAGAAAAATAATTAAATCAAAATACAGAACAAACTGAAAATCTGAAATCTGTTTGACGTTTTATTTGTAGTTTTGTTCATGCAGGAAATTTGAAAGAATTTCGTTAACATTTAAGGTACGATCTTTTTACTCTTTTAGTTCAACTTTGTAATGACACTGACGGAATGCTTTTACAAGAAATCTGTCAGAAAGCTATTAACTCACCAAAAAAACGGCCTAGGTTTAAATTAAATAAGGCGATTCATTTACCTTCAAAATATTAAACTGGGAGGAAAATGTCATCATAATTGATTGAACTTGACTTATCTCCCTTCGACTTTGGTTAGAAGATATTAATTAAGTTTAAAAATCAAATTATCTAACCGGATTTACCTCCCTTGTGTCTGATTTAAAAACTATTTATTTATTGAGCTATATCAATTGGTAACCAGTCCACCACAGAAAGAAACGGCAACTTACTGAGGGATTATCTTCTGTCTATTCAGTCATGAATCGAAAAGAGACATGATCACCCAATTGATGGCACTTAAATGACTGATATCAACCGAAGCAATTTTAGATTTAATTGACGTTAAAATGTGTTTTCTAACGTAGTTAAATTCTGGGAGCTGACCCCATTGAAGACTCACTCGGCAGTTAATAAGTTTTTCAGACATGAGCGCCAAACATTACATTACGAGTAGATATAATATTTAAATCGATGATCCTTCTGCGGATAATCTATTCATAAGAAATCTTAATAATGGGGGACTGCAATGCTCGTCATTAGCCATAACCCTATCAATAAAATAATCACCTTTTAGTTTTATAGCACCATATTATTACAGCCACAATTATAAATGAATATTGAAGCCAGGGTGCTTTGAGTAAGGTCAGTGGGTCCACTAGGCTTTGTTCACAAACAGAATCTATCGATTATAACTTTGAAAAGATACACAAGACCACTTGCTTGGGGTTTGGGGGCTTAGGTTGAAGGTCAGACTGACGAAAGGAAGGTGTGAATTTTCATTCTACGAAGCACGGAAATGGGTATCAGTAGAAGAAAGGGGGGCTTATTTCGCATGTTGAAAAAGTTCTTTTTAGCTTTGCTATCAGTCTACCTAATTAATAATTCACAACGCTCCCACTATGTAGATTTCACCATTGTCTGTAACCCTTTTTCCATTACTGTTACATGACTTATAGACTTTCAGCAGGTATTACTACTACTACTACTATTACAAATAGTACTACCAAATATTACAACTGGTGCTGTTATGACTACAATTAATACTATTACTAAGATTAGTCATCGTATATTGGCTACGATAAAGTGCTGCTACTAATACAACAATTAGTACTATTAAATGTTGATTACTACGACGAACAAGAAAGCGAGAGAAAGAGAAAGAGAAAGAAAGAAAGAACGAAAGAAAGAAAGAACGAAAGAAAGAAAGAACGAAAGAAAGAAAGAACGAGAGTAAGTGAAAAGAAGAGAGTGAGAGAGATTTAGAGTCGAGAAGAGAAAAGTTGAAGATCGAGTGGAGGCGCACGACGTTTACTTATGGATGAGAGTCTGATAAATGAATATTGAAATAATGAGAGAAAGATGAGGGTGAGAAAAAAAAAGACAATGAAAGAAGGAAAGAGAAGAAAAGAAAGAAGGAAAGTAAGGTTGAAAAACATTAAAAAGAAAAAAGGATAAAAAGAGGAGAAAGAAAAACGAAATGAAAAGGGAGAATAAGACATTGTGGTCGCCATTATTAGGGAGTTGTTACTCGTCCATCTGAGTTCGATCCTCATCTGGAGTATAAGATTTTAGCCTGCATTGTGGCTGAGAGAGTTTGTTTTTCTTTAACTGGTTCCATGGTTTCAGGAAGATGCCAGCATATCGATTTTTAAGGCCATCGAATCATTTCGATTTTAAATATTGGCGTCACAGTGTTTGGCAACAACTTCATGAAATAAAATTGTGAAAGTATGAAAAAGTAAAAAAAAAGATTACAAAATGAGAGAGAGAGAGCATGTAAGAGAAAAAGAAAGAATGAGAAAGAAAAGGAAAGACATAGAGAGTTAGGAAAAGAGAGCGAGAGTGAGGGAGAGAGATAGAGAGATAGATAGATAGAGAGAGAGAGACGTTTGATATCAATTCAGTACTGTTATCTTCCGATCACAACTATTACGTCCCCACCCACGCGTCTGCCTCCTATCTTCACGTTCACTCCCTCTGTCTAATGAACTCCTACTCTCCCAGCCACTCCTATTCTTCACCGACCTGCCACTGTCTTTGTTATCAACGTCAAGAGTGTTGTCCTCAGACTGTTGCGACGATGTCAAGAAACAGTTTGTCGAAACCAATATAACAAAAAAAAAAAAAAAAAATGGACAGTTGCGCAGTATGCAGGCCAACACCTACACATCTATCTATCTATCTATCTATCTATCTATCTATCTATCTATCTCTATGTATATATATATATATATATATATATATAAATAGTATTACACAACAAAATCCAAAATAACCTCTTATAATGGGTAATATATATATATATATATATATATATATATATATATATATATATATATATATATATATATATTAAATACTACTTATTGGCTATGTTATAATAAATACATTGAGCTCTTTTTGTGTATCAGTTTTAATATCTTATATTAATAGGATCCACTTGGATTATATACCAATGGATTTATTACCTGTTCTATATATATATATATATATATATATATATATATATATATATGTGTGTGTGTGTATATATATATATATGTGTGTGTATATATATGTGTGAGTGTATATATATATGTGTGTGTATATATATGTCTATATATGTGTGTGTGTGTATATATATATATATATATATATATGTATATATATATATATGTGTGTTTATGTATATATATATATATATATATATGTGTGTGTGTGTGTGTGTGTGTGTGTGTGTGGTGTAAAGAAAAGAAAAGAAAAACACAGCCAAACAAGAGTGGGAAAAGGGTTAAACATAGAGGCAGCGGGTCCAAAATAATATGCAATTTCAGATGCTATAAATAACTACAATCTACTCGTTTATTACTAGTACTACTACTCCTTCTACTACTACTACTGCTAATAATAATAATAATAATTTATTGTCGTGTGGCTCATCTAATAATGACGTTTACTGTTTAAATTTATTATTTTTCCAGCAACACTCAATATTTATTTAGCTGATAGCTAAATAAAACCCCAAATTTGGAGTGAACAGGGCTAAGAAGAATGTACTGCGCCATTCTATTAAGTACATAGGGTTTATCTGCATTTAAAATCAGTTTTTGACATCTTTTTATTTTTAGCTGTGTTAGAAGCTCAACTTTTGACGCCGGTGGGAAATCTGGGTCATCAAACTGTTGAATTTGGCACAAGGCCTGCAGTAAATGAGCACGTGCTTATCATCGCACCTTTAATTTGAGCTTTGATTGGCACCAGGCTAATGTATTAAAGAGTAAATTAACCCTGACCCTACTGAATAATTGGTTTGCGAGACAAAGTTGCTAACAATGAGAAGACGCCTAAAATAAGAGTAGGAAGATTGTGTTGCGTGGGCCTTTCAAGTGGCAATGATGCGAACGCTACACATCAAGCAGCCAAACAGTAGTGAGAGATCAGCAAGTACTTCTACTGGTTTATTTTAGGTTTTATTTTATTGCAATTCTTTCTCGTGTTCACGCCAACCAAATCGGTGACAGCAACTACTATCAACAGGACAAATCGTACTACTACTACTACTACTACTACTACTACTGTGACTACATTGGTTGCGATTGGCAACACTGGTCACCTCAACTGGTGAGATCGATTAAATAAGCTGAATAAATGAGAGGAACAAAAAATAAGGATGTCTTCCTTTCAAAACGCTTTTTCTCTGTGGCCTGCTGTCATTTCTCCAATTGTGGTTATGTCAATCCATTGTGTTTATTTGATGACACATACACACACACACACACCCTCTCTCTCTCTTCTCTATATCTTCTCTCTTTCTTCTCTCTCTCTCTCTCTCTCTCTCTCTCGTTATTGCTCATTCCTTTTTTTAGCATGTCTTTTTCTCGACTATCATTTTCTTTCTTTATTATCGTCTTCTTTCTTTCTCTCTTTTTCTTTCTTTCTTTCTTTTTCTTTTCTTTCTTTCGTATCGGTTTCTTTCTTTCCTTCTTTCTTTTTTCTTTACAATCATTTTCTTTCTTTCTTTCTTTCTTTCTTTCTTTCTTTCATTTCGATTTCATTCTTTCTTTTTATTGTTTTCTTTCCTTCATTCAATTTTATTTTCCTTCCTTCTATTTCTTTATCATTCTTTCATTATTTTATTTTTCACTTATTAATTATTCTATGTTATTTTTAAAGTTCTTTCTTTTTTTCTTTTCTGTTATCAATAAGGATTCCGAACAGTACGCTCTTTTGCCTTCCTCAATCCCTGAGCAAATACTTTTCATTGTCATTCAATAAAAACAACCAGCTGATGGACTTAATCGATAACGTCGACCATCATATCACCTGGCTTCTCTGTCAACAAACAATTGATGACCAGCCTTTGTGTTGGCCGAGTGTCTTACCCTATAGAAATTTGAAAATGTCATTGAAAGGTTCCTTTTGGAAAAGCATCAAAATGCACACGGGAAGGTTCTTTAGACATTTCCAGACATATATTGAGCCATTCGCTTACGTCAGCTTTTTCTTTCCATTGAGAAAAAGTGAAAATCGCTGACGAAGATTAATGGAAAATCAAATTCGTTAAGACTTAGTAAAATATCAATTTACTGACAAAGCAAATAAATACACACATAGACCCCCCACCATATAGGTAAAAAAAATCCGTGGGTAAGTAATCCAAGTAGATCCTATTAATATAAAATATTAAAAGTGATCCACAAAAGAGAGCTCCATATAATTTCTATTATAGAGCATATAAGTGAATTACAATTAATGAGATCCAAACGAATTACCTCATACAGATGATCATTTCGTCGGTGGGAAAGTAGTTTTTCTCTGGACTTATTAATGCAAATACATTTACTAAACTCCTAATTATATTAACATTAACTCGAACCACCCCCATTACATCTTGAAGCAGATACCAATTACCGTTGGTTCTAGAATCAATAAACTGTCATCTAATAAGAATATATTTGATAAGAATTGAGAATCGTACGAAAATGCCCCCCAGAAAAGTTGTTTTGCACATAAACTATCTTACTTAAACCCCCAAAAATTAGAATTAATATTGGACAAATTTTCCTGAAACTTATAAATAAACATTTTCAGAATAACAATCCTCGAGGTAAGATCTTCAATAGAAAAACCATTAAAATAATTTATTCATGTTCTACAAACACGTTTAGAGTAATTGACTCCGACAACAAGTATATCCTTATCAAATTCATTAGTGTTAACAAGAATTCTAATAAAAAAACAAACACTTTTAATTGTAGAAATAGAAACCTTTGCCCAGTCAAGGGAAATGTAGAGCATCTAATATTATTTATCAAGCCACTATTTACCCTAAAGAAAATAAATCAAACCACCAAGTTTATATTGGAATTTCTACGGGGGAATGGAAAAAAAGACTCTATAACCACAGACACTCGTTTTCCAACCCAAGACTAAAACACCAAACTACTCTCTCCCAAAACTTTTGGGAATTGTGGGAGAAAGTGACTGGGAATTTATAGGTTTTGCTCAGACTCCAAATAACTTTCAGGGTAGGTGTAATTTATAATTGTAGGAGAAAATTAAAATCATTAAATTTAAGAATCAAGATATTCTACTAAACAAAAGGAATGAAATTGGTATCCAAGTGTCGCCATAGGAAAAAATTCCAAATGACATAACATTATTTCAGCCCCACACTCCTAGTGTTGCCACAGGAACAAATTTCAACTAACATAGTATCAACCGAACATTGCACTCCTCTCTTTCATTTATATTTTTGTATATGATTTTTTTCTATTTTGACATCTTCCCTATATGTAAATTTTTTTCTATACGTGAAATTGTTTTCAAGATGTAGAATTTCCTTCTATATTTAAATATTTCTCTCCCTGTTTTATGTTTTCTGTATGCGGAATTTTCTTCTATATTTAATTGTTTTTATAATACTAAATTTTTTTATATATTGAATTTAAATTTAATCCTTTAATTTATTAATATCATGTTAATATAATGAGATTGGTTATATTTAAATGAAATTAATATATTAATTTACATATATTTTTCTGTAACTTTTACGATATAGTTAAAGATGTAGTATTGAATGAATTAATATTAAAATCTTTTGATACAAGAATTAATTTTAAATTCTTACACTAATTCTATATTTTAAACTCCTCTTTGAAATCTTTTATGGCCTTTTTGTTCATTCTTCTTTCCTTGCACAGGTGTTGATAAGTTACATTTAGGTAAGTGCTCATTTTCAACCGTCGCGTTTATCTATGCCCGACTCCACCACAACCACCTTAGGTCCCTTACTCTCTTTATCTATATAACTCTCTCCTCTATTATAGGCCAATTCTTACTCCACCGCCTTGTTTGATTGCTTGCTTCGGCAATTACTTGGAGATTCGTCTCCAGGTGAGCTGGTTGAACTCTCTGCCTTCGGGCAGAGAGGAACCCAGACGAGGCTATGCCGAAGGGCAGAGTCTCGTCTAGGCTGGTAGACAGCTACCCGATCCCGTTGTTTACGGGGTCTACGAGGAATTTTTGCCCGAGCCTACGGGCTCGAATACCCCACGTTAAATTCGGCCTTGTGCCACATCTAACTGCATGGAGCTGTTGGCAAATATCCTTACTCCACTTCATTTTATTCTTTCCCTTTTCTTTTTTCCTTCTTTCCTTCCTCTACCTTTCAAATTTCCTATTGAAGTAACGTGGGATTTTATTCATTTAAGTAACTGTATTTGCATGCATCGATAAGTCCAGGGAAAACATTCTTATGGACAAAATGATCATGTGTATGAGGTAAATTGTTTGGATCTCATTTATTGTAATTCACACACACACACTTGATCTGAAGGTTGCATTGAAGAGTGAACTTGGCAGTCACCATGCAGTGTTGATTCTTACTCCACAATGTCTATATCACTAAACGCTTTATCCCCGACAGTGAGAAATCATATATATATATATATATATATATATTAATAAAATTAATGGTCAATATATATATATAAATATTAGTGGTTAATATATATATATATATATATATAATTATTTATTTAAAAATATGATTCCAAATCGCTACATAAGAGGTCTCATGTTTCAAAACTAGAGCCGAAAACTTCAATATAATCCTTTAAATTAAATTGAGTTGAAAGTAAAATGTGCTCCGTTCCATCCTCAAGCGAAATTTTTGTTGGAATAACGTATATCTGAAATTTACTTGTTTTAAAATTGAAATCAAAATCCCCATGGTAACAGCTATGGTGAATTTTCTAAATTGGGTAGGCGAGTGTAGGGTGTTTATATTGAGTAGCGGTATAGAGATACTTTCAAGGTGTCAAGTCGGGGAAAGGTGGGGTGTCAAAATGAAACGGAAGATGTATTGGCCATCGTCTAGTTTGATTGTCTATGGAAATTTATTTATTTATTTTATTTTATTTTATTATGAAAGGAATTGTGCATATAAAAAAAAAAAAAAAAAAAAAAGGAAAACTTTCGTAACGTTTAGTTTTTTGACGACTTCATAAAGGGTTATCTTATATGTAAGGTATTTAAACTACTAATTTAGGCTATGGATTATGAAGTGTGTTATGTAGTATGCATGTTTTTAGTTAATTATTCCTACTATGAATCTGATGATTGGGCTATTTGTTAAACAAGTTATATAATTTTTTTTTTTTTTTAATCTAATAATTCAAACCAAAAAATCTGATGATGCCTACAAAAACCGTTAACTCATGTCTATTATTTAATAGATTATTATTATTTAGAAGTTTAATGATGTGCAATTTTTCATGGAGGCACAAAGGGCATGGGTCATCCCAAGCTTTACATTCTTCTGGCCTTGTCAATGATTTTCCATTTAACTTTTGGTGTCTTATTTGTTTCCTTCAGGTGCCAAAAATATTTTGATAGTGAAGTCTGATTTCGTTTGTTTATATTATTAAAGGAGCACTTATGCTGCCTCCATCTATCTTTAAAATTATTCTTCGTGGACCCAATGTATATCATATTAATGCCAGGGCTCTCTGTGGATGAAATATTACATTGGTATACCACAGAATTAATACAACATTTATTTTCTAATGGGCAGTCTTCTGGGTTTCTACAGTTGCATAATTTTATAATATATATATATATATATTACGATTTCATTGTAATAAATTAAAACCATGGAATATTAGTGTTTGAGCCTTATATATATATATGTATATATATATATTGGGGAAACATGTAGAAATTTAAAAAAAAACGTATCTATGAATACAGAAGGGATCTTATGCATAACAATTTAACATGCACTAGTCATACACAGAAATAAATTTAACAATTTTCATCGAAAAAATGACACACTTATCAAAAGAGAACGTAATTTTCCTAGAAGAAAAATTCTCGAGAGTGTCCTTATCGAACTTTATCAAAATATAAATCTACGCAACAGTTTCTTTCCAATCTCAACTTTGCTGAAATAATTTCTACTTTTTAAAGTCAACATACACGACCACAAAAATGTTAAAAAATCAAAAGAAAACGGTTAAATCCACGACTTCATGTTTTTGAAGATGCACAACACACAAGTCCAGCACAAAGCATAACAATCGGTTCACAATTTAAACAATATTCATTGATTAAAAAACAATCTTGAATATCATTCTCTCAATTTTGTCATACCAGACTTTAAATTATAGCACTTTGTGTCCACCATATGTTTTAACTGAACTTTCAACCAGCTGATGAATATTCATGAACGTTCTTAAATTTAAAAGCCTTGATAAATCAATGACATCCTTGCTCTTATATATAAACACGTGCTAAAAAATGAATCCTAAAATTGTCTTGATGGTCTCTCGGAAAACAAAATGCGTCGGCTAAGCATAGTTTTTTCCTGTTGTCTTTTAATTCATTTCGTTCCTTCACAGATACACTCGATCTGAAAATAATGTACACACACACACACACACACACGTGTGTGTGTATGTGTCAGTGTGTGTTTATGTGTCAGTGTGTGTTTCATTAAAATGATAAAGCATTTCTTTTAAGTGTTAGGGTTTTTCTTATGTACGAACAAAAGGTTTCTTATGGAAATTCGGTGTGAGTATTACCTGTTCAAATAGTTGTCTTGTCTCTTGTTCGCCCACAATTAAAATACGTTTAAAAGAAATTTGCCAGAAAATGTATATATGTATATATATATATATATATATAAGATACAGAAGACATATATATATATATATATATATATATATATATATATATATATATATATATATACACAGAAGACATATACTTTTCAGAAGTATATATATATATATATATATATATATATGTGTGTGTGTGTGTGTGTGTGTGTGTGTGTGTGTGTGTCACCAGGAACGATTTGTCCAGAAGGTGACTTCTTAATATTATCGCCAAGGGAGGGTGATCCCCAGCGTGCGATACATTTGGAATGTGCCTGAACACCATAGCACGGTTTGACTCAAACCTTCTGAGTGAAATTGGGTAGACGGAATTATTTGGGAACCGTCGATGGTTGTGTTAGCACGAAGTCACAAGTCATCGTGACTGAGGGTTTGAGTGTACTAGTCAGCTGTTCAGGCAGCTGATAACACGCTCTCTCCCAGAAACTATAACTTAGGTTCGCTCAGCCGAGTTGCAGCATAAACCACAGGTGGGTTCTGTGGGTGCTTGAGCAGGCGTATGTAACAGGGATTGGCTAATAGTCCTAATATACAGGCATACCCGGATACGAGCGGCCAGCCATTATATATATATATATATATATATATATTTTAATGTGTGTGTGTGTGTGTGTGTATTTCTCTTTTAGGCATGTCTGATTGAATAAATTATAAGCATTATGTCTAATTTTTTTATCATAATCCTTTCATATTCACGAATATCTTTCCGTATATTACAATTTTTGCTTTATTTAATTGTAATATGCGGAGAATTATTCGTGAATATGAAAGGATTATGATAAAAATAAACTGACATAATGCTTGTAATTTATTCAATCTCTCTCTCTCTCTCTCTCTCACTCACACACACACACACACACACACACACACACACACACACACACACATATATATATATATATATATATATATATACCACTGAATGTTGCTTTGTAACATGCAAATAATGTCACAGCTTTTAAGTTCTTATTTTACTCATATATGATAAACTGCTTAACTTAAGGAACGTCTTATGGAATATGGATGGCAAAAAATTACAAAACTTGATGTTACCTAACATGGCAAAAATATATTATCAGCATTTAAACATTATTATTTGACTGACTCTACTTTAGTATTTTAAAATAAAATAGAATTACACATACTCTACTGTATTATAGAAATTTGTATCGTGTCTATTCAGTCTTCTGAAAATGACAAGTCAAATGAAAAAAAACACGACTGAAGCAACAGATCTCATTCTTAAGCGAAATATTGGCCAAAAAATGATCATCAACTTTTTCTGTTCTGTAAGAAGACAAATTTTATATATTCTTTAGTTGGAGCCTCTTTTTGCCCTGAAATACAGCAGAGGCGATCATCGTAGTTGGCTGACTCCTTCTCACAACGACGCTATACACACACACCTCTAAGCTCTTAACACTTATCTTTGCAGTGATTCCATGCTTGTGTGGTGGCGTAACGACAACATATACATCACATCATTAACTTCGACATCTGTTTGGTCTTGTACTGTACAAAGCTTCAAAAATATCACAAATAGTTTTTATTAGAAACACAACTATCAACAACTCTTCTAAGTGAGTAGACCTGATTGCTTTAAATCCAGGCACTGGAAATGTTGGTGTTATGCACGGATTACTGGTACAAGTAGTCATAGGCAAACTGTGGACAGTCTTTTTCTCACTAAAATTTAGATGTTAAAATAGTGAAAACACGGATAAAAAGAAACAATAGCTTTAAGCAAAAAAAAGTAGATCGTCTTTGAAATGTAACGACATGGCGCATTGTATTAATTTCTTTCTTCTTTCTCTTTCATTGCCGTCAAATATAGATAAATAAAATAAAGCTATCCTATCTCATTAATTTCTTTAACTGGCCTCCACTAGCATCTGTCAGGATCAGACCACGTGAATTATGGCACTGTCTATTATATGCAATAGCAGACAAAAAGAGGAATGCTATCTGTTTACCAAGAGAGCATCATTTGCATCCGCCGTCCGATTTGTCTTAAACCATCGAAAAAGCAATAAAAATTCATAAGGTACATAAATAATCCATGAAACGATGTTTCGTTTGCATATTAAAAAAAAAATCTGTATCACTCCATGCAAGGTAGTAAAGCCATCAATACCCAACGGGGTTACGGGGTGTGGAAGAATTAGGAAGAGAAACATTACAAATGAGCGAGAGAAAAAAGAATAATCGGGAGGGGAGAAGATGGTGATTGACATTGCATTTAAATTTTTGAAGATTAAAGTTGGCTGGAAAGCATGGTGCCGGAAGTTCCACATGCAAGAAGTGCGAGAAAAGAAACTGTTAGCATAGAATCTACGAATTTTGCTCTTTGATTAAAAGTTTGCTCCCGACTGTTTCTAACATCTGGCTTCGGAAGGAAAGAAAACCGAACTTCAATATTTCAATCAAAGATCCAAGATATTAATTTGGATTCCTTCATATTTGCACGGATTACCTCCCAATTCTTCTTCAAGTAACTCAGGATAAAAAACACCTTCTGCTTCTTCAGTGGCTAATTTTGAAGGTGGTAGCTGTAAATCAAATTTTACGGACGATTAACTTAATCAGATTAAGGTCAACGTCTTAACTAAACGACGCCATTTTGTTTTCACTAAATAATAATCCGGTTACGAAAGCTGCCGTCTGCTTCCTTGCAGTCGATTTCTATAACATTTTTCATTCTTTTCTATGTTATACTTCTGTTCTTGTTTATTTATTTAAAGATTGTTTATTTTTTTTTAAACAATAACTTCTTTTATTGCCTTCTTCCATGAAATTACACATGAAAAACTCGGTAATTAAATCTTTAAAAATATTTAATAAAATTAAAAGAAATAATAAAAATCTCTCATTTTTGCCCTTTTTGAGATTTTCAATATACTTCATAAAACATGTAACCGTAAAGAGGAAGTCGGTTTTCCATAGCGTAATTGGTGACGTAATCATCAGCACTTATTTCTGGTTTTGTCTTGCGTCTTCTCTCTACTTTATTTCCCTCCCTAATTCGCTTAGTATTTGCTCCTCCTCCTTTCACTTATCTTCTCCATTCCTCTTTTTTTTCTGTCTTTCTTCTTCATTATCCAGTATATCTTCACCTCTCTCATATTATCTTTATCTCTTCTTCCACGGCGACAGATTGCCTCCCCACAAAACTTGACACAGACTCAATATCAGCCATCGTAGCACTGACTGATACAGAGCATGATAAACGTTTATCCATTTAATGCTTTGAGCAAATCACAAATATTAGAAAATGTCCGAAAATGTAAAAATGGGAAAAATTTTCAAGTTTCTTTATTCCAAATTCTGAAGCCGTATACTTAAAATCAAAATGTTGGTATTTGAAGCTGATGATGTTGTTTCAAACCCTACTAGTGGCTACTGAACTTATTGCTAGCAATGACTTTAAAATGACCATTAAAACACACACGAACACACACACATACACGCGCGTGCGCACACATGCACATACATATATTTTTTAATAATACAAATCATTAACACCTATCGAAATCAGAAAATTACTAGAATTTAACGTATTTTGAGGTGAGGAGGATATTTTAAGAAATTTTGCTAAAAAAAAAAATGAAATAACAAACAAACAAACAAACAAAAAAAACTAGAGCGACAATAGTCCATAAAATAATAATGATTCAAATGACTTATTTTTCAATCGACAACAAAGTTTCACGATTAGACCGTTCATCTCGATCATGTGATATACTATTGCATTATTAACAGATGTAGTCTACAAAGAAATTTAAAATTTCTTTTCTATGATTAGCATTTCTTTTAATATATATATATATATATATATATATATATATATATATATATATATATAGTGTGTGTGTGTATGTATTGTAGAGAATACAGACTGCGATGGATAAATTATCGTCTACATTACGCAAAACTGAAAATAACATTGCCATTTAATTTTAACAGATATATTTAACAAAATTACACAAAAATATCTTGAAATACTAAAGAATAAATTATTCAATAAAAATTGCCATTGGCTTCAACCACGGCTTCCAGATGACATCGGAATCGCCTGCAATTCTTCTCGATGGTCTCATTTAAGTTGGTGAATGCTACCATAATCCTTACCTGCAGTTCATCTTTAGTGTGACAAGGAGCTCTGTTGGTCTTTTGCTCAACTGTACCCCACACATAATCAAGGTAGTTGCAGTCTGGAGAGATAGGTGGCCAGATTTTATTCAATAACCGGATAAATCCAGGTGTAAAAGTTTAAAAGGCCTATGAATTTCCTGATAGGTTTTTTAAACAATTAAGCGAAAAATAAATATAAAAAGAATGGCTAATGTAAAATAAATGAAAGAATACAAAGGCCTAAACATTGCAGCCATGAACTTGGACATTGAATTTGGGTGAAATCGAACAGATATTAAAATCTGATATATTATCGCTTTACCCAGATGCGCTTTAAACGACTATCAAGAGTTGATTAACGTGCTCATTGGTAAGAAACCCATATAAACTATATGAACCTATGAATCTCGATGAGCAGATTGTTGAAGAGAAATAAGCGCCGTGTTGCTGATATCCAAAGAAATCGTCCCTAACCGAAGGAGTCATGAGCCGATTTCTTTCTTAAAATACTTGCCAGTTTTTAGCTAAGAGACATTAAATCAATTGAATCGATCTTGTCAATGAAAGATCTTTGGTCGCATTCTTTCCGCTTAGAGTCATAGAATTGAAAACACCCCTGCGATGAAAATGCGTGTATAACTAAAATAAAAAGAAACCCGAATAAAAACTGTATTCAAGTCATTTATCTTTCAATTTCGCACTTTAACGCATACATCACGACTTGGGTTTAGATTATGAGAGGCAGAGTACAAATAAGACAAACTCGCTAGGCAGAAAAAAAAAGTAGAGAAGATTAAAAAAAAAAAGAGACCATTAACAAAACGTTTAGAAAGATAAAGGGCAATGCTTACAAGCCTGTCTAGTAAGCGAGAGATTGATTTATCGAGATATATGAGGTAGCAGCTGTCTAACAACTGACATGTCTTCTCTAGTTCAGTGGGATCCATTAGCAAACCCTGCCTGTCTGTACTGTATGAGAAGTGCAGCAACAGCAGGTAGGCTGCAGATACGATAGACAAGATATCCACCTATTAAGAGAGGAGTTTTATATTCGGGTAGTTTCACACAATTAATTAACTCATATATTAAAAAATAAACAAAAATATTAATTTTAACACAAAAATAAACATAAAGGAATCAATAAATATCAGAAGAATATATTTAGATATACACTTAGCGTGACAAAACCCAACATAACCCAATGACAATGTTTTGGTCAAGAAAGTTTTTAGGTTCTCGAAATAAAATACAGAGCGAATCCGATTTAACATTGTTATGGGAATCTAAAAACTGACCATGAAAATGGATTCTCTTTATGCAAAAATATTCTTAGAAAATACATTATGCGCCTTATTTCATGAAACTTTCAACAGTTGACTTTTAAAAAATTAGGGCAATGTTATAAGTGATTGTATAGAGGTCGAATCTATTACATTTGCTTACGTGCTAATACCCTTTGGAGAAGTATGAATCCTCTTCTTCTCCTCCCAGCTATGGGTAAATAGCAGGACAGACCGGGTTCTATAACCTTGGATGGCAACTGGTCTACCGCAGAAAAAAATGGTAACCTACTGCGGGAAAAAAAATCTGCCTCGTCAGTTATGTATCGAAAGATACATGACCGCCTAAGCGTGCATCACGCATGGCACATAACTGACAGATAGAAGTCGGATATAAACATCAAAAGTAAGTGCAGAAGTTCAAATATCTGAAATGCTTTCTAACATAGGGTGGAAAATTCGACACCAAGATCCAAACACGCATTGGACAAACGAAAGAAGTATTCTAAAAGCTAAGCAAGTTCCTGAGAAACGGGAAAATTTCATTAGAAACAAAGAAAAGAGTGCTGGATTGCCATGTGATATCCAACCTCTTATATGGCAATGAATGCTTGGCAATCGAGCCACGGCTGAGGAGAAAACTGAACATAGCAGAAATGTTGTTCTACAGAAGGATACTGAGAAATTCATGGACATTTTAAAGAAAATGTCAATAGAAAGAACACCCAATCAGAAACGAAAACACTGCTGAAATTACTTGGGCACAGTGAGGAAGGAGGGCTTGGAAAACTTGATCCTCACAAGATATATTGAGGGCAAAAGAATATAGGGGAAGGGAGCGGGGGCGGTGCCTTAGCAATGGGAAAAATGCTAACAGTCACAAGGGATAGGACGATGTGGAGAGCCATGATCGCCTATACTCTGAAAGGGTACGTACATAGAAGAAGAAGAAGAAGAAGAAGAAGAAGAAGAAGAAGAAGTATATGGCATGCAATTGTCTTATACGTGAGATTCTGTGATGTTGATACGATGAGCATGTTCACGAGTTTATTGACAAAAACACGACAGACACTGGCCTCTTGAATTTTTCTAGAAAAACTTGAAATTAATTTGCTTATTTTTTTAATTCAAGCAAAGCAGAAACCTAAAGCAAATTCGTGTTGTATTGGGTCGTGATATATCGGGAGACGTATAAGAAATCTTGAAGTTTCTACTTGATTTTAGATTAAAAAAAAAAAGAAGTTTTTAGTAATCGTTTGGGAAAAATGATCAAGCAAGACAAATAAAAAAACGCCTTTGTTAAATTTTCTCTGGTCTTGGAAAGAAATCAAAGAAACGTTCAAAGAATAAAGATCAAAGAATCAGTCTTCAAGCATCGACGAATTCTACACTGCGTGGAAATTTGATGACTCATGAAATGGGAATGGTTTTTTTGAATCATGGAACTAAGTCGCAGAATTGGTCATCTGATCTTTTAGAGAAGTGACGACAATAATCTAATGATGACTGAGCTGCACACACACACACACACACACACACACACACACACATACATACATACATACATACATACATACACACATTCATGCATTTATATGTAAGAAATATCAAAAAAATGTTTCTGCTGCTGTCAGATTCCTGTGCAAGCCACAATCGCCAGGCGGTGGCAAAGAACAGATAATCCCCGGTCGCCTTTGTTTTAGCTGAAATTATCAGAGACTACAATTAACTATACAACTTTTAATAGCGGTGATATTGTGGTCGTGTGGATGTACGTGATGGTTATCGGCACCAAAAATAGAACTGGCAGGCTGGGTTCGAATTTCAGCCAAGGCAGTTGTGTTCACTTTCTATTAATAGCCTTAGCATAAATACATCTCCTCTCTCTCTCTCTCTCACTGGCAATGGTTAAAATCGTTTGGGTAGACTACACTTTTCCTACTTGAAAGGCCAATCAGTCTAGAGGAGGCACAGCTTTTAATTTACAAAATAAAACATTCTCCTAACTTACCCTTCAGAAGATTGTGGTTCCTATGATAAAACTAGATGTTAGACTTCAATGACCACATAGTCATTGGCTGCAGTTGGCACAATAATAATTTCTACGACAAAGGCAGAAAAGAGCAAGTCTTCTCTTGGTAACAACGTATATAAAAAAGACGTTGGGTTTTATTTGAAATCTGTAGATATGCAAAATGTCTCATTTCTTAGACATCGTCTCTCGATTGCACTAAAAAGATACAATCAAGGATAAGTCCTGATGCCGTAGTAAAATCTGAGAAGTCCGGCGAGTCATCTATTCCCTTTGAAAACCAATTTTCCTATCTGTTGGTGAAATTTATATGAGCAAACTAGCTGAAGTACTCATCTACACAGTGTAAGAAAGTAAGATGTGGCTAATTTGTTACCATGACGTGACAAAAGTCATTGATTGGGTGCCTTGTATCGTCTAGAACACTCTTTAGTCTGGCGAAATACAGGAACTGCACATGGTATCGGTCCCAAAAGTGTTTAGAAGATTTCTAGCGAGATGTTGAGTCATGACGTCTCGATATCTGTCCACATCTCCTTGATATTTTATTTGTGGTACAAAAAATAATTAAGGAACATAGACAATCGAGAAAGAGGGAAAGGGAAACAGCAATTACAAAAATAGGAGTAAAAAAAGAAAAGAAAAACAGAAATGAACGAACCGGTTGTCGCTCCTCACTCGTCAGAACTCGATCGAGAAAAATTAAAATTAACATTAAAATTAAAAAACACCGACTAAAAAGGTAATGATGAAA